GTTCTTTGTTCCTTTATGTATGTATGTATGTATGTATGTATGTATGTATGTATGTATGTATGTATGTATGTATGTATGTATGTATGTATGTATGTATGTATGTATGTATGTATGTATGTATGTATGTATGTATGTATGTATGTATGTATGTATGTATGTATGTATGTATGTATGTATGCATGTATGTATGTATGCATGTATGTATGTATGCATGTATGTATGCATGTGTGTGTGTATGTATGTATGTATGTATGTATGTATGTATGTATGTATGTATGTATGTATGTATGTATGTATGTATGTATGTATGTATGTATGTATGTATGTATGTATGTATGTATGTATGTATGTGTGTATGTATGTATGTATGTATGTATGTATGTATGTATGTATGTATGTATGTATGTATGTATGTATGTATGTATGTATGTATGTATGTATGTATGTATGTATGTATGTATGTATGTATGTATGTATGTATGTATGTATGTATGTATGTATGTATGTATGTATGTGTATATATATATATATATATATATATATATATATATATATATATATATATATATATATATATATATATATATATATTCTAACTCCACAATGTTCCACTATAACCTTATGTGAAAAAGCCTAGAAGCGAATGACAAGATATTTAAACTCTTTAATTCTTGCTGATTCAAGATACAGACAGTTCATATAAGCATTTTGCACTTTTTTGGCCATTCTATACTGAACCATTGGATCTGGAAGTTTATCATTCATTGCCGTAAAATAATATATACTATTTTGTTTTAGTTTATTTCTTTATATGCTATGTTTTACATCATATCTCCTATTATTATAATATATTTATATTACTATTGTGCTTTCACTGTTTTCATTAACATACGCAGGCGTACACCCGCACAATATGCAGTAGAGAACGTGGTGTAGAACTGATATATAAGTGTATATGCGTGTTTGCTTGAAACAACCAAATATTCTCCCATTTATATGTCTCTATGGCTCATAGAGTTCTACGTAAATACAAATATTTCTCAGTATCCGCAAAAGGTCTTTATAGGCCTGTTGAGGCATCTATAGGTTTACTTCATGTAGTAACAGATATGTAGAGTTTTACAAACACAACATTTTTATATTTATTTGTTTGTTTTGTCTATGTTTTGTATATGGCTTTAAAAAAGACTCATTAAGAGTCGAAAGCGCTCAGGCTAGGTAGAAACTAAATACGTGTGATCACTTGCTGGATCCAGTGCGCTTGAAAGAGCAGTTATTTTCCATATGATTTGTATTCTTTACACATACATACATACATACATACATACATACATACATACATACATACATACATACATACATACATACATACATACATACATACATACATACATACATACATACATACATACATACATACATACATACATACATACATACATACATTGTAAGGAATATATATTTTCATAAACGTCTTGCATGCAAACGATTGGACGACGCCAATACCCACCTGACATTTTTATTTCAATGTTATTACCTCAGGTATTAATAGACTAAATATTCAGAGAAAAAAGAATAGCAGTTTAAAGAAAATAAGAACTTTTGAGTTTTATAAAGATAATGATTTCTAGAATGTGACAGATGTGAAAAAGAACGTGTTAGGAGCGTAGACATGAGCAGCACATACCAAATTTGTGTACATATAAAACTACTTAAAGAAACACTAAACGAATATATTTTGTAGGTATGTATATGTATGTATTTAACTAGCACGTGACAACCATACATGCATACATACATACATACATACATGCATGCATGCATGCATGCATGCATGCATGCATGCATGCATGCATACATACATACATACATACATACATACATACATACATACACACACACACACACACACACACACACACACATACATACATACATACATACATACATACATACATACATACATACATACATACATACATACATACATACATACATACATACATACATACATACATACATACATACATACATACATACATACATACATACATACATACATACATACATACATACATACATACATATTATTGATTATCACACATCTTGCATTTGACCGTTTGTGTTAAAGGGATTGCTGACCAAATAAATTTCATATGACTGCTAAACTTTCATTTTGTGAGTGGGTTTATACCAATAGAACCCCTTTACATCAAACATCCTTCCTTTTATAATTTTCATTCTTTTATCTTTCTTGCTTTTATTGTTGCACTTTTGAAAGTTTAGGTAATTCATAATATCCTTTCCTATTGGAAAATGATTTTTTTATGAATAGCATTATGGGCTTAAATAAATACTTCGGTAAGGGATTTTTTTTTCATTCTAACATGGATAACAACAGAATTTCTTTTAAACGTGAATGCTTCGGACACAAAACGATAATTTACCAATGAGTCTCGAAAAAAGGTCATGAAGCAGTTAGTTAAATCTAAAAACGTCCTACATTTATCACGCTATTACAATAAATTTATTCATAAACGGTTAATAATCTGTTATAATCTTTTCATGCTTTTGTTTATCTTTTTTTAAAAAAAGACAAACCGTAATTAAAAAGCGAGAATCAAACTCAGTACACATTGTGGTCTAAAATATTATATAAAAGCGCTGTACTGCATAAATTTTCGAACCATTAATTTGATATAACTTTCTCTGTAGCATTCGAAATGTTGAAAACTTGAAATTAAGCTTATATTCGATTTAATAAGGATGAAAATCGCATTTAAGAACAGCAAAACTTCGACGTACGTAGGTGTTGACTGTCTTTTTATTGACCTTGGCTACTTTAATATGATCACGTGACAGATCATGCTAGTATTATATTACGTCAACAGAGTGTGAGTTGCTATTGATTCACCTCAATTTATGTGATAAAAAAAATACGTACTGGTGTCGCCGATTGGATGAAATATTGTTAATACATGCTATGTACTCGTGTTTATTCGCGTATACGTCTGGATCGAAGCAGACAAAATAGTTTTGGGATCTCATATAAGACCATCACTGGTAAGCCTGGGCTAAGCTGACTTAATTCATTCTGTTAAATAATGGTTTTTAAAATCATATATACGAAGTGGTACCTAAAAAAGGATAAAGAATAAGGGATATAGGCTAAAACAAATTTATAAAGTATGATACCAAGTATAATGCATCTCTTGTCCATCGAATGTATTGTAAAGAAATGTAGAGCAAAACAAATGACTTGTGTTGCAACAGTAACAGTTCTTTGAATCAAGCAATATTAATGACATAAGAAACACTGTCTGTATATGATGATATTATTAATTTCAAGGAATGAAATTATATATCTATTCTTTCATAAATAATGCAAATTATCGTTGTGATTTAAATTTGCTGCATGCATCGACTGGATGTTCATGGTGCCGTCTAGATTCTAGAACGTTAATAATCCAGCGTTTGTGTAATGGTTTTGCGACGCCGCTCTTTCTCTCGTATCAACCTTTTTTTAGCCATTGTTAATATTAGTTCAATGCATCTAGCTTCATTGTATATTTTGTCCTGTCTTCTGTTTCTTCATTTTCCGTCTTCTCGATCAAAATAATCCCAGATGTACAGGCAGATTTTCCACAAAACATTTTTTTTTTTGTTCTGGAATGTGCGTCTTTGATAATCTTAATGTTGGTATGGCATCATGAGCCTTTTCGGTAACAGCTACAGTTATCGAATATGAAAACCTTATTCCAGTGCGCTATTTACAGAACCCAAACTGACATATCCGTTTTCTCAAATCTGGGAATTTGACTTATATTATCTATGCCGGTCTATGTCTGATATGCACGTTATGGAGCGGAAAGTTGTGTTTGCGTTTCAATGAATTGTTATTTCTTCATATTATGCAGTAATGCTCCTTTAATGCGAGAACGAAGAGCCTTGATTACAAATCAAAACTCGAATTCTTGCCATGTTGTATATATGTCCACATGGAATATGAACAAGGTGAAAAGGACAAGCAGATTTACAATAATGGTGATTGTTGTAGTGTCTGCTTGTTACCAAATAGCTCTAACGAACTCAATTACTATAGACTGGAGATTCTTTCTTAAATTCCCAGGAGGAAAACCAATCTATAAAGGAATGTTTCTTATTTTTTTGATTATCTAGCAGAATCGAATTTGCAGAAAACTCCATTGAGGTTGCTTGAACAATTTGAATTTCGTCTGCATCCAGACTGTGATCAAAATTTATGCTCGTGACGAAAATATTACGTGCCAGAGACTTGAGCTTCGCGGAGCCATGCGTTATACATTTGCACTTTCATTATATAGATTTACATCCTGAACATACATTTGAGGATTAAAGCCATTTGTCAGCACACGACAGACTATACATGGTTGCCAAAATATGTCATCATGTCAAGTATAAGGGAGGTGCGTATACTTATAAGTAACAGGTAAGTATGATTATGTTCCAGATCCCATTTTGGCGATTTTCGAGCTGACCTTTTAGTATCTGGGAGATGACAGAATGATATACGGATGACTTGACGCAGTTTTGTTTATAGTGATACAAATGTGACGTGTAAAATGAATAAATTTGAAAAAGGTTTATGATCCAACTGTTTGAATATTCAAATCACGAGTGTCAGTATAATTATTCTTAAGGGGTGGGTGGGTGGAAAAACAAAATTCAGAGAAATATTAATATACTGCACAGTGGATTTATTACAAGAATCCAGATTTGATGTGATGTGATTATGATTTTTAACGTAGCTTTAACAATTTTTCAGTCATATAGCTACGATGTCTGCAGTGTGGCAGTTTATAGTGATGTCTAGCACTGGGACATCAAGCCGCAGACATGTATCATGATGTCCCACCCAGTCACATTATCCTGACACCATGCCGACCAGTCCTAACATTAACCTCTTAATGCTGAGCGCCAATTGACGCAGCTGTTAACACCATTTTTGTAAGTCTTTGGTATGACTCGATTGAGGATCGATCCCACAACCTCCCTCATCCGAGGCGGACGCTCTAACCATTAAGCCACCGGAGCGGTTCAAAAATCCAGAAAATAAATATTTATCACCGTCTCCCGTAGAAGCCCTCGATTAAGGTAGCTCATCATCCTACAAAATAAGAGTTTAGATCCAATTGGATCGAAAGAATCTATCATGATTTGACTGGGAATTAATAATCATAACGGTTGAAGCAGCAGCTCAGCAAAAAATTCTTAGTGTCTCAATTTTATTAATTTATATTTTATTTTGCCAAGTTTTACACAAAATGTTTTGAAACAATTTTCGATGAAAATTTATAAGGAAGATAATACACGAAAATATTTCTTTTCCGATATGTTCTTTATACAATCCTTGGAACTCTATTATAAAACGATAACAACGTACTTGCATTATACGGACACCTAGGTGGAGTACTATACATAATCTTTAACAAACCTCTCTTGTACAAGATTTATGATTTATTTTTTGTTATTACTATGAGTGAGTGACGTTAAATTAACATCTCAATGAATTCTAAGTAGATGTTTGTTTGACTGATTGATTGATGTTTAACAGTGCACACAAACACACACACACACACACACACACACACACACACATATATATATATATATATATATATATATATATATATATATATATATATATATATACATATATATATATATATATATATATATATATATATATGTGTGTGTGTGTGTGTGTGTGTGTGTGTGTGTGAGAGATAAAGCATGTTAGACTTGAAAAGAAAATGAAATTTTTCTTAAATAAAAATATAATGCTTTATCTTTTAGAAGAAGTTGTGTACCCAATCCTTGTATTTATAACAATACTCCAGTCTAGATGCAGATACAATATCAACACTTTCGGGAATTTTTAAACATGCCTAGAAGCCAAGTGTGCATGCAGGGAACATAAAATGGTCCAAAAATACATTTAGCACTCGTTCAATGGCTGAAAATCTAAATAAAACCCATATATACGGACTAGAAGATCATCAACCCATTACGGAGAGACAGACAAATATGCTTGGAGAGAGAGAGAGAGACAGACAGATAGACAGACAGAGAGAGACATAGAGAGACATACAGACAGACACAGAGAGGTGAGGGAAACATGGCAATCTAGTGTTTTTTAGGTTGAATTCTCGCTTCTGTATTGAATCACTGACACATGTAAAAAGAGCCGTGTCATAACGCACGTTTTAAGGTTGGTTGTGCATATTTTTAAATTGATGGCTTCTCCGTAAAGCATACGACAATCTAATTTATCTTAGGTCAAATGTATCACTGCATACTTTTTCTAGAAGTTACTGTTCCAGGGAACCTTGCTACCAAAAAACTAGATATTATTTTCCAAAAACGGTGACAATCATGACATGTGATAAAACAATAAAAGGCTCATTTGAACGACATCAAAGTGATGTCGAAATATTTAAACTTTTATTGTAAAATGGATAATGTCATGAAACAAATAATGTCATAATCATCGTGTATTTTATTGAACTTATGCATTCTAAAACAACATACCTTCTATGAATTGAACACGAACCCAAGTATGCACCTCATTTGCTCCATGTGGAATACATTAGTTACTGCTTCATCTGGTGCGTTAATAAACTATATTGCTTTTGAGAGTGATTGACCCAAAACAAAATATATGCTTCTTGATTAATGTACACATAAACGTATTGCTTATTTTTGCAAGTGTATGTTGACTTTTTTCGGTATTGAGATGACTGGTGTAAGAGAACCATAGTTGTTTTTCTTGTGTAGACCATAGTGATTTTACCTTTTGAACTGGTCTGCTTAAATTATTATTTTAATAATAAAATACGGAGGAGCTCTATTATCAGTATGCCTTGTTTGTCCAGAGAAATCAAGTATGGATTTAATATTTATCCAAACAAACACTAACAGTAGTTATCAGTAATTTAAGCCAAATGTTTGAAAACATTTAACATTCTCGTGTATTGCACTGCTTCAACGGTCAATGCTGCACTAACCGAAGCAAAAGCAAGAGAACATCCAGCATAATCTGTAGCTTCACTTCAACGCAAGTTGTGATAATAATTTCAGACCTTTCTATGCAATGTAAAGATATTTGGTTCTAATATATCTTCCTCCTCGACCTATATCGATGCCTGTCCGAACATATGTGTTTGTTTTGGCATATCGTTTTCGAATACAGCACCTGATTCAACAAAATGAATTCACTCTTTTTCCTCGTCAATTCCCCGCACATCGAATCAAATTACAAAATGAATGAATTAATATAGGAGGCGAGACGTATGTTCCTAACTTAAATATAAGCATGTTTTGTCTTTTCCTGACAGGTAAAAACAAATTATTTATTTTTCGTTTGTAATTCATTTGAAAACATGGAAAAAAGAGATGACTTCCACAAAAGGCCAGTCTAAGGCCCTATTAATGGTAACTGATAATCGCCACTACTTTATGGTGAGACACACTGACACATATATCTGAGAAAATATTTATTATTAGGGTTACTACACATTTGATATGAATTCCTTTCATTTTAATGTAATCCACCACATCGGTACTATATTTCCATGTATGATAGTACATTAATATGTACTTACAAATCGGCTAAAAATATGTATGGTTTTAGTAGCCGTTTTTAAATATAGATGGCGTTGTTTCGCTCTCAATGGTGACAAGGAGGAGTCACGAGTGTGATGTGACCTCTTTCTTGATGTAATGTTTATGGATAATTTCCTAACACAAGAACTAGGTCACCTATCCAAATGGAGAAACGTCGATACCACAATTACGTCTGGACAAGCAGTTTTAGTTATGGCAGGATACAAATGTTGTTGTTGATGTTGCTATTGTTTATTAGGTTTAACGCTACTTTTAAGCACAAGATAGGCTATACATGGCGGCCAGAATTAATGTTGGAGGAAGAACCCTGGAAAACCCCGGAAAGAACCACCGACCCATGGGAAGCTACTGGCAGGCTTTGGATACAAATGTAAAGGGTGGAGAAATTCTTTAATGGAATAAAATGATCCAAAGGAGACATAATTCACCTTTTGCAGTATCAAATGATTTAGTTCGTTGACAATTCGTGTTTTATAACATCGCATCAGTTATTAATGGCATTAGCTGATTTAAGATTTGGCGAGAAGTGGTTTGTGATCGAACCTGATGTAATGCTAATTTAGAATACACTCATGATGCCACAAGACCAGTACAGACCTGCAATTGATAATTCATGGAAATCTGTTCTTTGACGCCAAATATAATCTGTAAGCAAGGTATTTTTTCGATATTCAGTTGTTTTCTCTCTCTAAAGTAGTGTTGTAAATAACGTATTTGTAGGTTCAACTTGAAGAGGAATTGCACATTGAAAGAAGCATGGAATATGGCTAGACAGCTTATATTTTATGAAATAACGGCCAATTTTCTCCAAGGTTTCTTGCATACCAACGAGACTTCTTTAAGTCTTCAGACATAACGTTGCAGTTATTTCTAGTAGGAAAACACTGGCACAAATGAGACATTTCACTGAGAAAATTCAATTAAAACTATATAATGTAGTATAAACCAAAGATGTTACGTGGACAAAAAAACTTTAAACTTCTAAATAGCAAGAAACAAAGGTTGTAATAGATTTAACATGTTGAATATGTAAAAAAATAATTGTTTTACCTTTCACAACACCTTGTAAATCGGACATACTCTCGCTTTAAAGACTGAATTTGTTCAACTGTCCAGCTGCTTCATTGTCATTGTATATTGTTTTCAAAATCAGTGTTAGACAAGATCGATGTACACTCAAAAGACACATCTATCTTATTTTAATTATATAGCAATTTGGAAAAAGACTGGAAGCGTATGTTCATTTAGACTGGACACTTTTACATCAGTAAGAGAAACCGCTCAAAAAACTCAATTAGTAACAAAGACCAATTAGCAAAAAAGACCAATCAGCATGCAGATCGATCATCAATTACAAAAAATTTCTTTTCAGAATGCTATTGTTCATTAGTATTTCATTTTACAGACTAAGGGGAAAAATCATATAAAAAGGCTTCCATCATGATTAATCATTGCATTAATGTCAAGTTGGAAGATATTGAGGAAACGAACATTTTTCCATTATGCCTTCTGTCAAGAGATACTACCTTATTTTGAGCAATACTCTGGAAGTTTACTGTGATATCAGCTTCCCCAAAGATAGTGAATATCGATCTTCTAAAATAAATTGGATACCATGTTGATTTACATGTTGAAAAAGAGCCGTCCGTACATTTTATGAATCAAGCACTGAGAAGCAGAATAAATCGGCTTTCTTTTCTTCTTTTGCTTTATTATTTACACTACCTTGTGAAAAACCCCATTGAAAGCACTAGTTACATTCTATTGCATGTCTAAAAAATCAATAATTCAAATATTCAATATTACCAATAAGAGGGTAATTACTCCTCTTCTTTTGCAGACTCTCAAAGAGGAAAATTACAGTACCAACGACTGGAATTTCTACCCATTTGCCTCACGGGCAATTGTTTTCGAAACTATAATGATATCAAATGTGGTTCGAATTCAAACATCAGTGCTGTTTTGATGAGCAAATGTGTAAGGAACTACTAGCATCAGAAGCAGATGAAGATGTTCATAAAAACCAAGCCAAAACATATTGATTCTAACATATCTTTGAAATCTGCTATATTGTACTATCAAACTCACAAAAAAACATTATTTCTACACAACACTCACATTCAGTGCTTTACCACTGACTCTTCGCCTGTCTAAAACCTCTCTGGTGGGGTAGTGATTGGAGCGTCCGCCTCGGATGCAGAGGTCGTGGGTTCGATCCCCGATCAAGTCATGCCAAAGACTTACAAAAATAGTACTAACAGCTGCCTCGCTTGGCGCTCAGCATTAAGAGGTTATTGTTAGGACTGGTCGCCCTGATGTCAGGAGAATTTGACTGGGTGGGACATCACGCTAAATGTCTGCAGCATGATGCCCCAGTGCTAGACATCACTATAAACTGCCAAAATGCA